ACTATTTTTTTATTCCAGTCTTGGGTGTAGAGATCTAATGTTCTAATGAGATCTGTACGCTTTACTGCTTGCTACCAGTAATCTGATCGGTTTCTGATGGGCCTCAAGCCGAGGATCGTCGAAGCGCTGATCTACCTTCACGCAGGCCTGTCGAGAGCCAAGCAGCTGGTGGATGGGCGTCATGAATGATGGACCAAACCTGATCAAACCATTAAAACTTAAGACACAAAGAACCTGTTGGTCAAGTTAATTGGTAAATGACTCCATTTTGGGGTACTCAAGTTTCACCAATACCTGAGTGATCGCAGCACTACCCCCCCATTTGCCAACAGGTACAGTCTCGCCTCATCAATGCCATCCCACTGCCGCACAAACATCAGCCCACCAGAGCTCTTGTCCTGTCAAAACAAAATCATCGAGTCCCTCAACATCCTCAACTTGAGATGATTCGAATTGATTTGGGGATGGGTCAAAACCAATAGTACCCCTGTAGTTCACATCAAAATAGCTGGGATTTATGGATGGTCATCCCACTCAAAATGGTATTTTTATAGGTATTGATCCATACCCATTTTCGTCCAAAAAAAACCAAAAACTCAGCGTTCCGCCTCAATGGGACCTTCCCAAATGCCCAGGCGGTAGCGGACCACTTCAGGGCTCGCCTCTTTGAAGACCTTGCCCGGTAACGTGGAAAGCTTGGGTTTCTGATGGTTTCTGATGGTTTCTGATGGTTTCTGATGGTTTCTGATGGTTTCTGATGGTTTCTGATGGGTTTCTGATGGGTTTCTGATGGTTTCTGATGGTTTCTGATGGTTTCTGATGGTTTCTGATGGTTTCTGATGGTTTCTGATGGTTTCTGATGGTTTCTGATGGTTTCTGATGGTTTCTGATGGTTTCTGATGGTTTCTGATGGGTTTCTGATGGTTTCTGATCGGTTTCTGATGGGTTTCTGATGGGTTTCTGATGGTTTCTGATGGTTTCTGATGGTTTCTGATGGTTTCTGATGGTTTCTGATGGTTTCTGATGGTTTCTGATGGTTTCTGATGGTTTCTGATGGTTTCTGATGGTTTCTGATGGTTTCTGATGGGTTTCTGAGTTTCTGATGGTTTCTGATGGTTTCTGATGGTTTCTGATGGTTTCTGATGGTTTCTGATGGTTTCTGATGGTTTCTGATGGTTTCTGATGGTTTCTGATGGTTTCTGATGGTTTCTGATGGTTTCTGATGGTTTCTGATGGTTTCTGATGGTTTCTGATGGTTTCTGATGGTTTCTGATGGTTTCTGATGGTTTCTGATGGTTTCTGGGTTTCTGGGTTTCTGATGGTTTCTGATGGTTTCTGATGGTTTCTGATGGTTTCTGATGGTTTCTGATGGTTTCTGATGGTTTCTGATGGTTTCTGATGGTTTCTGATGGTTTCTGGGTTTCTGATGGTTTCTGATGGTTTCTGACGGTTTCTGATGGTTTCTGATGGTTTCTGATTTCTGTTTCTGATGGTTTCTGATGGGTTTCTGATGGGTTTCTGATGGTTTCTGATGGTTTCTGATGGTTTCTGATGGTTTCTGATGGTTTCTGATGGTTTCTGATGGTTTCTGATGGTTTCTGATGGGTTTCTGATGGTTTCTGATGGGTTTCTGATGGGTTTCTGATGGTTTCTGATGGTCTCTGATGGGTTTCTGATGGTTTCTGATGGTTTCTGATGGTTTCTGATGGTTTCTGATGGTTTCTGATGGGTTTCTGATGGTTTCTGATGGTTTCTGATGGTTTCTGATGGGTTTCTGGTTTCTGATGGTTTCTGATGGTTTCTGATGGTTTCTGATATCTGACTACATATCAAAAACATAGAGATTTAACATGATGCAAAATGATTTGTATAGTATAACTAACCACACTGGGGATAAATAGCGATCGTGACAGGGATTGCTGTGGGGATTTCACGGAAATGAACACGGGGACATACTGTAGGGGTGTGTCAAAATGCAACATATTTTCCATGGGGAGAAGAATGCTCAACCACTCTCTAGTTCACACCTTCTTCAATGTATTCATATCATATATCACGTGTCACGTTTTTCAAATATCATCAAGTTTGTCATACATATATATATACACATACATATGAGTACATCATATAATCATACGTATACATATATACACCATATATATTGTGATGTGTATATATATATAGTATATTATATGTATATGTAGATACTGTATACGTATGTATATATATAACATAATATATGTATATTATATTACATGATATATCTATAATATATACGCAATATATATATATACACACGCATAATATATACTTTATACATGTAGGAATATATAGGAATATAAAGTATACAACCTGTAGGTGTTCAACCCATTCCCATTCCCCAAATATGAGCTGATGGTGGAATCTCGGAATCTGGCCTGAGCCTCCAAAAGCTCCTCCATTGGAGTGCTGGTGGTGGCCTGGCCCCCATGACCATCAACTGGTGCATTTCGTCTGATTTCATGGTGATACATCTTGATCAGACATATTTTATTGCAATATATGCACAGTACATCATATGACTATAACATATACCGTAATTAAACATAGTTAAGAGTATTTATATAGATGATGAAAATCCGAGGGTGTCCTCTATTTTTGGAAATAGATCCCCATGTTCTTGCGGTTCGTTTTTTGGGTTTCAAGCGGCCTGTTGACAAACAGGCCATCAGGCACGTTTGCCCGGAGAAACTCCAGCACATCCTTGAAGAAGCCGATCATTGGATGCTCTCGGCGATACTGGCAACGCAGACGCTACGAAAAATGTCCGACTTTGGATATGAAACACAGAAAAACACCAGTCATTTCAACATTCCAGCCATCAGTCATCATTTCACCACATTCCAAATCATTCCAACCATCATCTTTCCATTTTTAACATATCTATACATATCTTAACTTTCATTTCAGCCAGCAGAGAACCACCTCCTTGGACCCAGGATGGTAGAAGTCATATCGCCCATGATGCCTACGTTGTACCTGCACGGCGCAGTTGGGGTGACTTGGATGCTGACACCTGATGACACCAGCGGCTGCTACCCATGCCTCCCATGGCAAAGGCAAATCTGTCAGGAACAGAGGCTTCAGGATCTGATAGGCTGCCATATCTGCCTGGCAGGAAATTACTGATGCATCTCCTGGTTTGTTGATGTTTTGTTTTACCTTCAACAAAACATATCATCGGGATTGGATGATACCATATGATAGGGGCATCTGTGAGAATCTTAGGCCCTTACAGTTTCCTGCAATTGCATCCCCATCGTCCTCAGGTGAGGCCAGTGCAAATACCCCCCCTTTGCTTCAGCCGCACAAATCGACTCGGGAAATTCATGGCAGAGCTAAGCTCCCAGCACCGCCAAGGCATCTGGAATCACAGCTTTCCTCCTGAAATGTGACTTGCCAACTGGCCATGCTCTGTAAAATCCATGGTGCTTCAACCACACCATGTGCCCCTCAGGCTGGGACACAATATCTGCATTGTCACCCGCCAGGGATAGTTGTGCTCCCCGTTGCATAGTGGTGCTGCCGACCCCCGGCCTACGGAATGCAGAGTCGGAGCAAACTGGTGGAACTTAAGTTATCTACTCAACTAATGATCTATGTCTATGACCATTGAAATCCATCCACCCTTACCATCTTTGGTTGGTGAAACGGTTTAACATAAATACACAACGACCACAGATGACATGTAGAAAGACTTCATGGACAAAGCTGGGGCACCAGGTCTGCCTCTCAACAGCCAGGCGGGACGACATGCTACTGGAAGGTGACGCCGGCATGGGCAACAAACCTCAGTGGGAAAGCTGGGAATTTTGTTTTCACATATTTTCACATATTTTCACATATTTTCACATATTTTCACATATTTTCACATATTTTCACATATTTTCACATATTTTCACATATTTTCACATATTTTCACATATTTTCACATATTTTCACATATTTTCACATATTTTCACATATTGGCAAATAGGTGTGCCTAAAAATTGGGACAGAAAACGGCTTCTTTACATGGCAGAAATGATGAACAAGCAACAGAACAAACACTCAAAGTTCCTGAGACAGGGACTCCAAAAAGCCTGCACTAGGCTCTCCAAGGGCCATGGGAACTTTGCGACCACATGGTGTACTTCTTCGTGATTGAACTACTTGGTGAGTCGGCTTCCTTTCGCGCATCTTGTGCAGTTGGGGTTCAAAGGTGTCTCTCACACGATTTCCAAAAAGTGAGGCACTCTTCGTTCCAGTTGGTGAGCGCATGATTCAACGATACCAGAGGGTTGGAACATGCTGGACAAATCTGAACACTGAACTTCACTGAACCACTACATGGGGCCTGGTGCGTGTGGAGCCACAAAATTGACAAACATGTCCACAAATATGTTTCATGATCTGCTTGGCAGATCTGCTTGGACACGACTTATCTGCATGCGCATTCAAACGATTGTACAGGATAAGCACTTCAATATCTCTGGTCTTATTTGTGAAAATGACCGGAAATGGAATCGAAAGTCGAGTAATTAGTTTGTAGGCATGGCATAGCTATGACAGCTATGACGTAGTCAAAAGGTGGGATAATTAATCCACAGTGACCGACGTCAGCTGGTTCTGCATCTCCAATGCACTGACGCATTCTCTTTTCGCCGCACTCCCACTTCGCAGACTCCGCCCCTTCGGGCTTCCGCGATTGCACCGTCTTGTTCGCTTGTCTTATGCTGATGCAGCTGATAAATTTACTACCGGCTTAAATGATGATCAAATGTCTTTGCTGAAAATTCCTCTCTGAGTGTGACTCAGTGTGACCATTGAAAAGATCTGAAAATATATGACTTTTATGACCGTGACAAATCAATACAAATCATCTGTGCGGAGCGCATGGTGAAATCTTTCCGTGAAAGTAGGTGAGACTGCGACGCTGCAATCTGGATTGCAGGTTCCTGGTCGCACTTAGGACAGTTCCTTTCGTTCAATCCCTAGGAGCCCAGCACGATTGGAGCATCAGCCGCTACCAGGAACTTACGGGAAACATCCAACTGGTGCTTGATGGATCTTTGTGGCCCAGACTATAGAGATCCCACAGTTCACCAATCGGCTGACTCGCAGTTCGTGGCAAATTTGTTGAAAGCTGTCACAAAGTTGAGCTGTTCATTTCGCCTCAGTGTCTTCCACTGGTGATTTTCTTGGCTGCCAGTTGACATGCACTAAGTCACTAGGGATGCGGCCAAATGCATTAGCGCGTGGTTGTGCCAAACTGGGCCCAGAAGTCATCCGAAAACTTGTTGGTGTAGAGCTCGTTGATTTTCTGCGGGCACAAAAAAAATGGAGTAGGAATTGTCTCGAATCTGTCCCTTCTTCCGGCCTTTCCAGTCAGATGGTTTACCTGCGATGTCCTTCTGTGGTCCGCTCTATATTTTTTCTTTGGACGAGTAGTCTGAGTAGTCTACCTCTTCTGCCTCTGCCGGTTCTTCTGTCGTCTGTCTGTCTTGAAAAACTCTTCCTGTCATCCTTGTGCTTCGAACACTATGATGGCTTGAAAATGGAAAAAAAAAACTGACTGACAAATGCTGACAAATGTTGAATGGTGGGGTGGTCATTTGAAAGAATTCAAGTCGCTCACAGGTTCAATGATGTTCGATGTATTCAGGATAGGAAGTCAGGGCAAATTCATTCCGCACCTTGGTCTGTTCAATCTTCTCTGCCTTCATCTGCAAGTTTTCCTGGTGGAAGTATGTGGAAACAGTGTAGCAGGATTGCGGGATATACTGTAACAGGTAAAGTGGCTTTTGAATGCTTTTGACTCACTTTTCGAAGTACAATCGAATTTGCTATATGATCTTTGCAAATGCCTTTGCCATTGGGTGTCTCGGTGTCTCTCTCGAGTCTCCTTGGCTACTGCCTCGGCCATGGCCCTGCGGCTGCGTGACTTCTCCCGCTCTTGGAGAATCAGCTGCCTCTGCACATCTGGGTCTGGAATCATCTGGGATGTTTGTGCTATAGACTGCTATAGTTTTGCTTCAAATTTGTTGGGTCCCGAACTTGGCAACAAAGTGAGGATGCTGTTAAGTCTGAATTGCAGCGATTTGCCGCTATGCCAAGAGTATTGTCAACTACATCCCTTTGCATGTGTCTTAACCCATGACTCTTCTGCTCTGAATGAGCAAATACTCTGCAGCAAATACTCTGCAGGAGCACTCAACGCGCTGCACCGAAAGGAACCTCGGAATGCCCTTTTATCTATCATTACCATTCATATCCATTCATGATCTATCTTTGTCATTCTTTGTCATTCACTATCTATCTTTGTCTATCTGCTTCAAAGGTTCTTGCCTATTCACGACCCCCGCCTCCGAGCAGCCTCTTGCAGAGTTTGGAAGCGGAAGTCCTCCACCTGCCGGCGATCAACATCCTAGCCACAATGGTCTGGAAAAATATCATAAATTCTATATGAAAATCTCTACCTGTTGTTTCATCATCCCAACAAACCATGATAAGATCACCGGTATCAAAAATTGATAAGAATTTACAAAGTTCTTAAATATTCTTAACGCTTCAACAAATCTTAATCCAAAAAGAATGCCAGTCATTCATGTGCAATGCGAAAAATGTGTGAACACTGAAACAGGAGATGTGGAAGGAGAAGAGCGAGATCATGTCACAAATCCAGCCCGAGTCCCCAAAGTCTGAGGCAAAGGTGAGAAACACTCAAACCATTGGTAGGTGTACCCCAATGCGACCGTGTTCTATCTTACGACTACCTTGTACAGCTCAATCTTACAACTATCGTGTGCAGCTCAATGAAGATGTGCGAAGAAAAGATTGAATGAATGAGCTACATGATCAGAACATGGTTCAGAGATGCTAAGTGCAAACATAATCTAATTAGGCACCATGTATATCATTGTATATCCATTATTTATGTACGGTTTGCTCCGAAAAGGAGCAAAAGCCTTTTACTACCAAAATTAAAGGAAACTATCTATTCATCACAAGCAAGGAATCTATTTTGAAGTCACAGGTCATATGTTTGAAGTTTGCCATGGCTTGAGACGCTCCAAGTGTTGGCACCTGATCCTGATACTTCTTCATACTCTGCTCCTCTGCTTGCGCTTCCAACACCCGTCGTCCCTGCAGACATGACGTGATGATGGAGATGGTGACCATGGAGATTTACCAGCACCCCTAAGGATCCCTAAGGCATGGCAGGCATCCACGCATTTAGGTAGCTACTTTTGCAGTCAACAAGCCACACAATGAATATTCAACCCGCAGGCCTCCAGCCTTTCGTTTCTTGTGGAGCCTGATGGCGAGCAAAAAAACGATATTCAACATTGAAATTACGTGACTATACAATGTAATGCATTTTGAATATGTTGATGTAGTTTGCTTGAAAACAAGTCCCACAAGTTTCAAAACTGACCTGTCAAGTCATACAGAATCTAACATAATCTAACTATCTGTTAGTTTGATTCGTTTCCCCATCAGATTCTCGGAGCTCCATTCCACCAGGCCATACCAGGCCTTTGAACTCCGCCCTTCGAACACGGCCGTTGGGATTCAAGCTGTCTGTGTGCTCGTTCAGGAAGGGATCATTACCCTGGGCGAAACAGACTAGAAAACTGGCCATCAAGCTGAACCACAGCGACCCAGACTCCAGACTGCTCCAAAATCTTCAAAGCTCAATCCCAAAAAGCAGCCATTGGGCTATATGGATCTATATGGTGTAATTATACATCCATATGGTTTATTTCTAATCATTCTAATCATTTATATAGATAGATAGATAGATAGATAGATAGATAGATAGAGAGATAGATAGATAGATACATCATGAATCTTCTGTCCAGCTCTATGCGATACCTTTCACCAGGCGGCGTGATGATAGAGCTCCGCAGCATCCAACAATGCCTCCTGCTCTGTGAGGTCCTGGCGCTGTGCCGTCCCAATGTTGGGTATGACATCACCCCATGATGGGGGGATATTGACCAGCCATGGGGATATATCTAAGTCACTAAACCAGCAAACATATGTAACATATGTATGCAAACATCATGTCAAAATCTGGTTTTAAGAGGTGCTTTCATTGCACATGGCTACGCGTCGCGTTCCTTCAAAGTCAGGTATTTTCTGACTGCGTTCGAGAGCACCAAAGAGAGAAGACTGCATGTAGATCAAGGAAGGTTCACCTCTGCAAATCACCCCCCAAAGGTGACACCCAATAACAGATTGTAATTAAAATTAATTAAATGTTTATTAAATGTTTATTAAATGTTAAAAAGACCTTATTAGTGGTCTAAGATGCACTAAGAAACCCTTCTCATCGGGGGATCCCCTTTCGGGAGGGGTTAATACAGACGATCGAAAGCTCCTGCTGCTGCTTAGCACGCTCAGCAGCGCGCTCCAGGTTCACTGCCTTCTGATTGGTGCATTCTGAGCGCAGAGTATCATTCTGAATCCCCCAGGACATATCATCACAGCTCATCCCCAAAATTGTGTTGTTACACTGTTCGTCCCCAAAATGGTTCATCATACGTCATCCCAACATAGTTTTATGATGTTTTGTGATAGTACTCCCCGCATGCTGGGTTGTACTCATTCCATCTCATTCCCTTTTGATTCGTTCCATTATTTGTTCTATGATAATTTACTTCTCCGAGGCCTGCTGCGACTGCTGCAGCTCCTTTCGCAGGTTTTGCTCATTTGCCTCATGACGTGGCACAGCTCAATCGACTGGGATGCCTCGCAAGTGGTACATATGCTATGGCATACTTATATGATCGCATATGTCTTTGTGTGTGTGTGTGTGTTTACATCCATCAATTTATAAATTACATTAAATTACAATTGGAATTATAAAACACACACACACAATGCATTATCATCTTGCCGTATTCTGTATAGATTTGGCAAGGTAGGTAGGATGTTTCACTGTTGGATAACTAGCAATGCTTGCTTAGATACCAATAAAACCCTCGACGGATCAGTGGCGGGTCTTAGCCCAATGATGCTTGGGGGTGGATGTCCAGCAAGCCTCTCATAAAAAGGCACCCTGCAATTTTTTGACTAACGGCTGACCTCCATCTCATCACGAAGTGCCTTGACTGGATGGATTCAAGTATCTCTGGTCCAGTGGACATGAACACGATCTGCTTTGATTGTGCTTTCGTACGAGACGGTCCAAGGCAAATATATAGATGTGTAATATAAATGTCACACTTTAAGAGAAGAGAAGAGATAGCAGCAACTGGATGCAACTCGAGCTAGCACTAAAAAAAGATGGGCTGAAACAAAGGATGCGGCAATCATCTCTTTCGTCTCCTGAATGTACTTCTGGTCCCCATTCTCTTCAATTAGCATTTCCTCAGCATTGCTGCTCAGGATGGCAAAGTCATATTTCACCAGCAAGGAAACGATGTCAGGCTGTCATCACTTGGCAGGCAGCGTAGCTCGACTTGGGAACTGGCCTTTTCAAATTTTTGCTGCTCTATGAACATCACCTCAGAAAGTCGTGAAAAACTTCTGTGTCCCAACCAACGTTCCAGTGTCCAAGCGCCAAAGTGCCAGCAATCCCGCACAAAAAATGACCGTACTAAGAATCATGGGCCTATGTCCATTGCATTGCATCCTTGCCAAAAAAACTTGGCTCCTGGCCTGTTGCTTCTGCTGTTGCCTCTTGCGCTCAGCTTTCATGAGGTCCTGTAAGGCAAAAGACTTCCAAGACTGGATATCCTTGTTGGCAGTTTCAAATAATATCAACCCATTTTCAAAGATAACATGTCCTCGCCACCAAATTTCAACATGCTCGAAGCACCTGTCAGGAGCACTTTGTGTTTGATTCCTCTTGCAATCCAAAACCCACGGCACGTTCGGAAACCTCACTGAAGCCGTTCTGAAATAAGTTGCTATTCTGCCCCAACAGCAAGCAAGTGCCACGAAATTGGCAAACACTGCACCTTCTTGAATTGAACCATGAGAACAAACTGAGCACCGTGCCGCACCGCGGATCATCATCACCCCGTCGCATGGGCTCTGCCTCTGACACGCAAATTTCTACTGAAGGTTGCTGTTCCATTTCATACACTTTTAAGTGCGAAACCTCTTTCCCTTTAGTTCCATATCATTTCACATTTCATGCGGTGATGTAATGTTATATAATGTTATATATGTTATGTCATGGCAAGAATAGCAAAGATGGTGTCCACAGCCTTTCGGAGCCGCTGCGGGTCATTGAGGTCGTAGGTGTTGCTCTGCTCTTTGCTGAGGTTCTGAAGGCCGAACCTTGGGCGAAAAAGCTTGGGCCCGGTGCCAACTGTCTCTGGAAGTGCTGGTGGGCAGCGTCATCCGTCCGGGCCCTTTGATTCATAGCTTTTGAAATCTCTGGAGTTGGATATATAAATAGTATATATAATGATATATACATCTGTGAAGACATGCTTGTTTATTCATTGAGACTTCTTCAGATCCTTGTTCAGACCCTTCCGAGGTTATGGCTCTCTGCATGATTTCTCCAAGTCGAAAATCATCTGCTTCTTGCTGGCCTGGGCAAACAACCCACAGAAGCACACTCATCTTTGCATGCGAGGATTTCCTGAATCCACCCACCACCTCATCTGCATTGAATGAACTGCCCCATACTGCCCCTGACATACTGTAGTCTTATCCCATGCACGTTGCCACTCCCTTAGCGCACCTCATTTAATTTGAGCTGTTTGTCCAGCGCCAACATCGCCCGATCTTCGGCGACACTGGCCCAGAGTGGCAGGTTTGGAAGGCAGAAATTGCAGAGTGTGTTACAGTTTATATGCCCATTCAGTGGGAAATTAATATGATACAACTTAATGATACTTAATCCATATTCATACCACAGTGTTGTGTATACATCATTATATCCAGTTTGAATCTATACCGATTCAATATGGAGTTGCAACCACGCCAGGAAGGCTCTTGTCGCTGTTGCTCTTCTTTCAGCCGCTGGCGCTCGGCAATTTGCGCATCTAAAGTCTGGCCAGCGACTCAAAGATCGAGGGGATGAATTTTGAGAGAGGAAACTGTGGAATCATGTTAAATACGTTAACTACATTTAACTACACTTTAGACATTAAATCACTTAAATGTGATTTCTTGGTGTTGATGTGTGCGAAAGTTGAGGTGCTGGAGTGCACTTGAAAGCCTGAGCATTTCAGCCTTTAGGCGAGAACATGCTCTATGCTGGCTGATGCAGCCGGAGCCTGCTGATCGATGCCGATGAGTCGGCGTTTAGAGTTGAAGATGCGCTGTCGTCGTTCAAGCTCCAACTGCAAGAGTTTCAAACAAAGAGTTTCAAACGGTGGGTCAAATGCGTGCCCTCAAAATAGCAATGATTGAATGGTTTAACATGTTTAACCATTAAAATGTTCAGTCTGTCAGTGACTGCGCGAATCAGGCAGGCCCAACAAGTTTGAACGCGGTATCAGAAGAGTTGGCTTGGGGACACCGTTGCGAAAGTGGTTTCAATGCGTTCGATCATCATTCTATGTATTTGATCGTTGCCAAACCAAACAACATCTCCAGAACCCTCCAAATTTGCACTCTGGCAAAGTCAAATTAGAAGGTATCCAACAAAAATTGTCCTAAGAAACTATCGCAAAATCAGGTACCCCCAACCCAATCGTATATTAAATATATGATCATCAGTTTCGACTTAAAACCCCCATGCTGACACCCATTGCAGAAATGCTGTGCCAGTGCCCAGCTGCCTGACGCCGACGCGCTACTTCACGGGCCAGGCGCTCCTGGGCACCGTGGCAGATCAAATGTCATCTATCTGATCTTACCTAATATCTCTGTATAGATAGATAGATAGATAGATGGATAGATAGATAGATAGACAGACAGACAGACAGATAGATAGATAGATAGGTAGGTAGATAGATAGATAGACATATGGTATCATCTGCTCGTCCACAGCTTGCAAGTAATCGGCATGATAACATATAATAATGCGTATATTATGTATATGTATGTATAAATATATATAAATAATTCACCCCGCTTCGCGTGGGGTGGCCGCCCACACCGCAGGTTTATTTAGGTCCGTGAGAGGGGCTAAGGGTGGTTTTCCCCCGTGGGGGCTCCCCAAGCTAAGAATTTTAACTTTCCCCCCCCGTGGGGGCTCCCCAAGCTAGGGAATTTTCACTTTTCCCCCCCGTGGGGGCTCCCCAAGCTAGGGAATTTTCACTTTTCCCCCCCGTGGGGGCTCCCCAAGCTAGGGAATTTTCACTTTTCCCCCCCGTGGGGGCTCCCCAAGCTAGGGAATTTTCACTTTTCCCCCCGTGGGGGCTCCCCAAGCTAGGGAATTTTCACTTTTCCCCCCCGTGGGGGCTTCCCAAGCTAGGGAATTTTCACTTTTCCCCGCCGTGACAGCTTCCCAAGCTATGGAATTTTCACTTTTCCCTCCCTTGGAGGCTCTCCAAGCTGCGGAATTTCAAATAGCTAGACAACGACGCCTAGATAGTCCCCCAAATCCCGTGTTCTTTGAATGTGTTTCCATGTTTTTGCAATGGTTTCCTTCAAAGCACGGTACTTTACACTTTTGTCGCCATAAAACCGGTCGAAAACATCATGTTCGACAATGCTTCCAATTCCCTTATCTCCCCAACCGTTGAAAATACCGCTATTTACAGTGTTTTCTTCAATTTTTCCATGTTCCAATGCCGGTAGCCAACTCCAACATATATATAAGAAATCCTTCCAAAACATTGTTTTTGACAGTGTTTTTCCAATGTTTCCAGTCAAACAGACGGTAATTTACACGTTTTTTGCCATAAAGGCAGTAAATCCTTCCAAAACATTGCTTTTGACAGTGTTTTTGTAATGTTTCCAGTCAAGCATACGGTAATTTACACGTTTTTTGCTATAACGTCAGTCCAAAACACTTGTTTTTGCAGTGTTTTCAATGCTCTGGCATCCAAAAACCCTGCAAATTCTTGCTATGTACAATGTTTTTTTTCATTTTTGGCCGTTTTTCCATTGCCGGAAAGCTACCAAAATGACCCAAAATTCCATTTCAATACCCTCTTGCGCTCAGACACCCAAAAATCCTCGAAAAATGTCGAAAACACCACCGTATTCTGGTCTCGGTGCGAAACCGTTTTTGGCCCCCCCCCCAGCTAAAGCTGATATAGCGACTGCTATATTAACAAATGTCATTGAGCATTTAGTGTTGCTGTTTTGCCCCCCAATAAGCACGCCTTCACCGCCAAAGCGGTGTGGGCGGATTATATATATGCATGATTTCGAATGTGTAATGACACACATTCTCTTGCCTCTGGGGATAGTCGTGCCCGAACTGTGGCATCCAGCACGTGGCTGTCAAGACCTCCAAGGATCAAAGATGCGACTGGTCTTTCTGAGTCTTTCTGAGTCTTTCCAACTTGGGACTTGCGAGGCACCTTCCATGCCCTCCGGGACCATTGTCGCCGTAAGGCCTCGGGAACACCACGAACACCACCAGCAATGTGTTGATCATAGTCCAACCGGTGATGGTGTCTGGGTCCAGTCTGGGTTGCAAACCACCACCTCCAAGCACCTTCCAATGGTCATGCGGCACACGTCAAGTCACAACTTCCGCAAAGCTTCAGACCAGCCTTCAGTTGAACTGTCTGCTCAGGCTGCTCCTCCACCTCCTGTTCAGTACGGCTGCAATAGCATGGGAAATGGATTCAAACACTACCAGTACTAGACTTCTGAACCACATCATTCCGAATCATTCCTTTCGCAACCAGCCAATGTTTCTTTTTTCCATGAGATTCACAGCATCTGCACCTGTGTCGCCTCCATGTCCGCCTGTGCAAATTGGATTCAGGTCTCTGTGGAATTCAGCAAAAGGTCCGAATTGTGCAAGGTTGTCTAGAGTCTAGATCATGAATGCTACAAAAGAATACAACATAATTCAACTTATGCACCAAACCATGCTTGTATGCTTGACCAAAACTTTACCACCAACATGGAAGCCTCTGCCATGGCTGGCAAGCACAGACGGGCAACAAATTGTGACTGCAGAAGGTCAGGCATCAAAAGCAGCGGATGCACGCATGGTCTCTTGCTCATCCGCTATCAAGCTGAAGGATTGAATTCCCATTGACGACATTGTAAACAGTGAGTTCATCTCAGCAGAAGGTTCCATCACGGACAATGTATATTATGTTTTCCTTTTTTTCACAGGCCCTCGGTCGCTAGAAGGCATTGACCACGCCAAGAGTGCTTTGAAACGTAGTGCCTGCACATCTTCCAAAGCTCTACCAGGGTATCTTTACACACCAACCCAGAAGTTGTCATTATTCTGGGAAGGGTTCTTGCATTTTCTGGTCTTCCTGGGGGGTGCCATATTCATTTATACATAGCTACAAGTAGGTAGATCACTACATGGACAAATGGATAGATGGATGCATGCGTCATAGATGTGTGTAACATAATATGACACCTGTCTCATTAAATGCCATGAAAAAGCCATCAAAGCTCCTGCATTTTGCGGATTTGTTGATGGATTTTGTAGCGTTCTCCAACGTTTCAACAACCTCTCCTCAGTCACCCACTTTCATATCTTCCATGCCTCAGCCTCTGGGCATCTGCGGCAGCTGTGGCAGCGGCATTTGTGGCATTTTGGGCATCGGCGGCATCTGCGGCATCTGCGGTTGGCTAAACTGCTTTGGCCTTAGTGTTTTTCAAGCAAAGTCATGCAAGCTCTAGCAAGCACAAATCGCATATACTCTTCCAAGTATGGCAATGCTGATGGCACTATGTCTATACATCATTCCAATATTATGCACATTTATACATTAGATTTCATTTTGACCTGCTGGAAACTTAATGCCACACTTCTTTGATCCTAAGGAGAATCTGTGTACGGATCGGAAGACAAAGGTCAGATATCAAAGGTCTGCGCTTCTCTCGCCAGTACGTCCTTACGGCCACTCTTTCATGTCTCAGCCTTCTGAAAAGATGCATCTCGGCACCAGCGGTTTATGCCGGTGCTTGTGGTGCTCAACTATGTACAACTCTGCCCACAACAATACCACAATACCAGTTTCAGTACAAGTACGATGTGGGCTATTGCTTTCTGTCCGGGGTTTTCCCTGACGAACAACAACGAATTTCACCAAGAAAACTTAAAACCGAGTTGATTCTCAGTTCAATCCGTTCAATCTAGAGCCATTACCGCCGTGTCCGGTGCCGCATTGAAGCCTTCATCCAAAATGGCTTGTAGTGTTGGAGCCTGCAAGCTGAAGTGTTTCATCAGTAGTCTCAAGCAGCTCATCTTTCATGGAAAAATCATATCTTTGTTGGCATTCATGGCCGTCTCTTTCATTTTCTATCACTTCCACACACTTGCAAACCGAGAGGACGAGAGGACTTCAATGTCCAGCCTCTGCTGGCTGCTCCTCATCTTCCTCATGATCCTGAAGAAACTTGCGATTGAAAGTCTTGATAACGATGGGAAGTTTTTGTGTGAAGTGCGTTCTTTCCTTTTGGAATACCAAGGTGAGATGCTGAACCATGTTCACAAGGCACTTTGCACATGGGGTTGTTTGGAAAGTTTGGGAAAATAGGGTCCCCCAAGAAATCACACTCATTCTTCCCAAGAAATCACACTCATTCTTCCCAAAATACTTTTTTTAGGGCCTAATTTTGATGATTTGGGGTACTCCCATTTTTAGAAACCGCCAGATGACAACAAATCCCAACAAATGGACAAATGAGTGGATGATGTATGCAGGGACGGATGAATAGATCATAATAGATCTATGGAAAAACAAAAGGATAGATGGATACAGCGGGCAACCTGCTTTTAAATTGTTCTTGCACCCGTTTTCATGACTGGATCATGATGATCATGGTGACCCTCGCAGCCTCAACCACCATCAGGTACAAGTCCCGCAGGCTTGAAGTCTGCAGGAAAGCTGCCTGTCGGCGGAACTTTGCAGCAACAAAAAACTTGTCTAGGACTGCAGCCGTAGGACATGTTCTCTCCCCAGGAGGTGAACAATGCCCCAACTCAGCATCGAACGACCAACTTGGGCACGAACAGCCGTGAGTTTGCCATTTCCTGAGCTCAAAAACTCCCCCAGAATTCTTACATCATTGCTGCCAAGGACACATCCTCAGTCACATCACAGGACTGAGACCCATGACCGCATCAATGTAGTCCAACGACAAAATTTCTGGGTTGGAGATCTTGATGCGGAAACGCACCTGCCGAAGGAGCCGATGGGAATCACGATTGTTGGATAGACGATGTTGCAATGCAATCATCGTCCAATACTCATTTATCATCTTGCCTGACGGCATGTTCTTTTTCGACCCACGCCAAAGGTTCATGGCTGGGGCTGAGGGTAGTTTCACCCTCCACGCAGCGCACCAACGTCCAAGCAGCCCTTCAAAGAACCAGCGGCACAGGTTTCGTCCGCACTCAGGTAGTCTCCATCTCAACCTGGGCGGTTGCGAGTTTGACACCAGCTGACACCAGCAACACCCAGGCCACGGCCAGGGATGGCCATGGCCATGGCACAGTGACGCTGATGCTCAGGCCCCAGCTCCTGGCAGTTCCTCCAGCAAGGAGGATAGGCTTGCCTCGATGAAGGATGGGATGATCAAATCAACGGATTGACCGGTCTTTGTGCTGCCTGCGGTATGGCGCCATCTTCTCGATATCTCTGCAACCTCAAGACATCTCAAGACTCAGAGCATGAAATCACTGTTGGACACTTCCACACGCAGGGAACTCCGGAAACATTCTTGCAGAATCAGCATATTCTGCGCTGCAAAGCCTGTGGCCCTGACAGTTCTTCAATCCGGCAGTGGGGCACACCCTCTGCTGACAGGAAATCTGCTGCCTGCAGACTTGTCAACAATCTGACTGGCACAACCCTGGTAAGCTGTCATGTAAACGAATCAAATAAAAGATACGCCCGTAGGATCGTACTGTAGGATTGTACTGTAGGATCACACACACATGCGGATAAATGTGTTCTGAAATGTCTAGACACATACTGTTGTACATATCCACACAATTCTACAGATATCTAGACAGAGCAGAAGAGGAACTCCACCGTGGATTCTTCTTGCTCTGGTGTGAGGGTCAAACCTTCGGAAGAGGAAGACCCGGGCCAAGACCTAAGTGGGCAACGTTTGCTCTTGGCATTTGGATCAAGTTGATCTATCATGATCTATGATCTGTGTAAAATCTGCATGTCAAGCCACAGTTGATATTTTCGGAAATCCTAAATGATCTAAATGCCCGGAGCAATTGCAGTCATCGTAATTCACCACATTCAGCACAGGCTCCCAAGACTCCATGACTCTTGGGTCGCCATACTTCGGGGCCAAGGCCGTGTCCTGTCAGGTCACTGGTATCTGGAAGCCGTAATCAATCCGTTGTGACATGTTGTGACTGTTTAAATGTCACTCCTCTTCTCTGGAAACTCTTCGTCCAATCCAAACTGCGACTCCTGGATCCGACAACTCACAAGTCAAGTACACAACTCAGGATGCCAAGCAATTGCAAACTCTTGACTAGACATGATATGCATGACATGTTGACGACAAAGCCAAGACCAGAAATCCAAGTCATGATTCTTAGCACCTCGTGTGTTGGAAAGTTGGGCGTGGCTCAAGTTGTGTCAGATTTGGGTTCTTCAACAAGAAAAATAATTTGGGGTGCAAGCAACAACATGCAACGACCATGTTTGGTTGTTTTTGGTCCTTTCTTCTCTTGCTGTTTCACACAAATAACATCAAATAACGTACAGCAGCTGGGTCCTTGGCGGCCTTTAAAGGGATCTCCTCAAGAGACCACCTCAGCGCAAAATAGAGACACCAAGACACTGAGCCTCTGTAAGATTCTATATGGACACATACAACTTTCATCAAATGTCCAGTTTCAAATGTTTCAATTGATGAATATGCGAAAATCCAATTTGATCCAACTGGTTCAACTGATCATCAACAGTGCTTCAAATAGAATGAGATGTAGGAAGGGGGGGCTCCCATCCCGCGAGAAATCCCGCTCTGAGGTCCAATGCCCTGGTGGTGCAGCTCCTCTGGAGGTTTTGAAAACCACCGGGGCCTCCCTCACCTTGCAGTATGCGAGCAGTGCCTGGCTGATGACTCAGCAAGTACAAAGATGGTCTAAAGATGTCTAAAGAGTCCAAACAAATCTTTGGGTTGGACTCACAGATTCTCCATGAAGCATCCTGCCTGTGAATATCTTTAAATCATGTTCATGTATCGGTTCTCCCTGCTAAACCCATACAAGCTCTCCAGGCGTTGCCTGTTCGTAGCTCAGCTGCTCGTCCCCTAAGCGAAAGGTGACACACGGCTTGCCACGACATGGCACTGTGATGCTACTGCCCTTGTCACGCGGCGTTGCGTTCATAGGCCTGCTTCAGTCAGGTCTTTCCACAAACATCGGGCCTGCACCGCGTCTCAGCGAAAACAACTGAACAGTGCTTTCTGGAGGTAGCTTTGGAAATTTGGGCTAAGCTTAGTTTTGATAGTGGTTGGGAAAGTCCAGTCACCCTTTGACCAAAATCTTCTGCCTACTGATCCAAAAGAAACAGGACATATTCCCACCATTTCCCACCTTATGTCATTGAAAGCAAGATTGACATCAAACATGGTATAATCTACAATGGCAGGTCCTCAAAGACCCTGTGATTTGATTAGATTCAATCCTGAATATTTAATCCTGATAGCGCCTGGGCAATCGTCAGTTTGATGTCCAGCTCCAACAGAAAGTGCCTCAGACGAGGGAAAGGATGAGTTCACCCAAACTGTTAGATCCAATGGGATAGTTAGTCAATAAGGATCAAAACTATCAATCAGGTACCTACATGATGCAATATGATGCAAGTAGCAGTAACCAACATTTCTAACATTTCTGACAATATGACATCTATACACTGCGTATCACAAGTCATTAGATCCGTCAGGATCCTGTGGATCCTGAGAGCCGCACCTGAAATCACTCTCCTTCAGCCCCCCTCTACCCACGCCTAGGCTGCAGCTTGCTTGGCATTTCCATTGAATTTAATCACTGAATGATCAATGATGCTGGTATAAAATTCAGGCAATTGCAAACCTTGAAACTGACACACTCAAGCCCCTGACTCCAGGCAGCAAAACAACCCTGGAACTTGTCAAGCTCCGCACTGCAGCAGAGGCCACAGTTTGGGACAAGGGGCACTGAGGGTAGGTGATGATCTGTAAGTCACATTGACATGTCCTGAAGCCTCTGAGATTACAAAGAAGTTACGTCGAGTTTTTCTTGGTCTGAAACTATGGCACACTGCTGGGTTGAATTTCCCCACCGAACCTGCTTGGATGCCAGCAATCACTGACGGGTGTTGTGACCTGGCGAGCAAATGAGAAGTCAACAGACATCGTGCTTGCCGGAGACCGAACCTTGTTCACCAGCCCGCGCTCAGTTCGAGTTGAATCGTAGAACTGGCCATACACCTTCCCAGGCTCAGTGGTGGTGTGCATGAACGTGAACGGTTGAAAGATTTGTTGGAGCTATATAAATGAAATTGACAGTGTTATGGCTCTGCAAGCCAGTGCCCTCAGATTGCGCCCTTCAAGCCTTGTCGTTCCAGAAGTATGTCATGCGTCGCTCAGCGAGCTGAATTCAAGTCCAAGTTTATGATACACACTGAGACGTCATGCAGTGACCATAGGATACGATAAGGGCAAACTCTGTTTCACTCCTTCAGACAAAGAAATGCTAACATGGTTGGTGTTTCTCCACTGACTCATCGGTCTTGTCTGCTTTCAACTCATGTCATCAGCTTGAGCAAAGCCACAACATGCCACAACAACACTCTGGCGACTCTGGTTGGAATGCACAAGTCATCACAAGTCACAAGTCCAAAAATCCACAAAATCCGCATCCACGTTGATGCCGGCGCCTGCATGGCCTGCCTCCGACTGTGAAGCCTTATTCCAACACGATTCGCTGACAAAATGTATCTGAAAAAAAGATGAACAACTATGAAAGGTGAAGATGATGAAAAATGATGAAGAAGAAGAACATGATGATGATGATGAAGAAGAAGAAGAAGAACATGATGATGATCATGATGATGATGATGATGATGATGATGATGAAAGATCATGATGAAAGATCATGATTAAATATCATGATGAAATATCATGATGAAAAATCATGATGAAAGATGATGAAAGATCATGATGAAAGATCATGATGAAAGATAGTGATGAAAGATAATGATGAATGATAATGATGAAAGATAATGATGAAAGATCATGATGAAAGATAGTGATGAAAGATAATGATGAAAGATAATGATGAGAGATAATGATGAAATATAATGATGAAAGATAATGATGAAAGATAATGATGAAAGATGATGATGAAAGATGATGATGAAAGATGATGAAAGATGATGAAAGATGATGAACGATGATGAAATATGATGAAAGATGATGAACGATGATGAACGATGATGAAATATGATGAAAGATGAACGAAGCTGATGAAAGATGATGAACAATGATGAAATATGATGAAAGATGATGAAAGATGATGAAAGATGATGAACGATGATGAAATATGATGAAAGATGATGAAAAATGATGAACTATGATGAACGAACATGAAAGATCATGAAAGATGATGAAAGATCATGAAAAATCATGAACGATCATGAATAAGATGATGATGATGATGATGATGATGATGATGATGGTGATGATGATGATGATGATGATGGTGGTGGTGATGATGATGATGATGATGAAATATGATGACATATGATGACATATGATGAAACATGATGCACGATGATTCAATGATGATGCACGATGATGATGAAAGATAATGATGAAAGATGATGAAAGATGATAAAAAGATGATGAAAGATGATGGAAGATGATCAAAGATGATCAAAGATGATGAAAGATGATGAAAGCAGCCATGCACAATTCTCGTCCAAGCTTAGCAAGTTGCTGGCTCCCTGTGCCAGAGGCCAACGACCTCACAGCAAGGTCATTACAAACAAAGTGCAAAAGGCACAGCAAAGGATGCATTGAGACAAAAAGTAAGGTGAACACCATCAAGCACATACATTGCCTATATTGACGACCATGGAACAAGAATGCCAGCTGAAACTTTTTTTTTCGCGGCATTTCTGGCGGTCAAGTCATTTAGCTAAACAGTTCTACCTGAGCAAATCAAAGACTTTCGCATCAGATTAAATGGGGGTACTCTTGTCGGACACTGGATGAAAGGGTCTTTGAATCGAAAAAAGCGTGAATCATCTTGTTGCCATCGATGGCACTGACCTTGCCAAGACCTGGGATGCCATGTTTACAACCTGGCCACTGGTGCCCGGCTCCATGAAGCTTCAGCAGCTTCGCCGTTGCTCCAGAGTGACACTCGTCATACAAAGCCATGGACATGTGATCATGCGGAACGTCAAAGAACATTGGTGCATTTGAACTCCATCGGCATCCGTTGAACTTTGCCCAGAGCTGCAAAGCTCTGGGCACTGAAATTTTCCAGTAAGGGCCTCCATGACCATAGAAAGGGTTGATCGGATCTGCATCACCATGGAAAGCCAAGGTAGGGACAGCTCTGGTCGCATTGTTCTTGAAAGGATACCGAAGGCCACTGACAGGGGCAATTGCTGCGAAGTGCTCTGACATTTGAGACGCCAAACGACTACAAAACCTTCCGCCATTGGAGTAGCCTGTACAATACACTCTGTCTTTGTCGATGCATGGCAACTGCAAGATTGTCTGCAAAACCAATTGCACAAATTCTACATCCTTTGGCCCATCTGGGGAGATCCGTTCGCTGTTAGCACCTACATTGAATCGTGTCAGATTGTTGTAATAAGAGGACTTCATCCCTTGCAATGCCACCAAGGCAATGCCGTTCTCTGCAGCAAATTTTCCCAGACCAGTCCAACTCACAAAGGTATCTGCATGTTGGTTGGTACCATGAAAGGCAAACCACAATGGAGCCTTCCGCACACCCGCAGGTAAATAGAGAAACATCTTTCGCTCCTGTTCTACCTGGACGGGTACCCACTCAGGTACCAGGATGGACACCCAAGCAGGTCCAAAACTTGGACAAGTTGCGCTGGCTTCCATGGAGACATTTCCGATGGTCACTGTCTTCACTGTCTTGAAAGAGTCGGCTCCACTTGGCCATTGACTAATCTCCTGATCGCTCGGTGCACAAAGGGAATGATAGTCCTGGCAGCAGGAGCCAGACTGTACACATGATTTGGTGCACTGGCATGCGGCGCCCGCGGCGCGCAACATCAAGAGGTTGCATCTTCCGCGGCAAGAGAGCTCCTCTGCCCTGGTCAAAAGGCCAAGCAAAACGATGGCGATTCTGACCATTGTGCGGAGTTGGCACTGCTTAGCAAATGCCTTCACACACAGCTAATCATCCTATCCTGATTTGAGCAACGAAGCAGCACAAGCGACTCAAGCGGCTTTGATTGGCTTTGATTTCCTCTTTCCATGCGTGGGTTCTTTTTAGACCTCTGACAAAAGCATTGATATTAGTGCGGCTACTAAGATGAGGGCGCATTGGCTGCAGCCACCTGCACAAGAGACAGCTTGGTCATGTCTGGCTCTGGGTTTGAGTCGTTCGGAGGTATTCAACGATCATGAGGTTGCAGGTTCTGGTGGTCAGAATGGGCGAGTCTGTCCAGAAGGACATGAATCACGCGGAATACCTTTCGCTCCAACCCTCCAGTAGATAGATAGATAGATAGATAGGTAGGTAGATAGATAGATAGATAGATAGATTAGATTTGGATTTGGATTTGGATTTAGATTAGATTTAGATTAGATTAGATTAGATTTAAATTTAGAAAAGATTTAATAAATTTTTAATAAGATAAGATAAAGATACGATAAGATAAGATAATATAGAGATAGAGAGAGAGAGAGATAGGAGAGATCGAGGTAGATAGAGGTAGATAGAGGTAGATAGAGGTAGATAGAGGTAGATAGAGGTAGATAGAGGTAGATAGAGGTAGATAGAGGTAGATAGAGGTAGATAGAGGTAGATAGAGGTAGATAGAGGTAGATAGAGGTAGATAGAGGTAGATAGAGGTAGATAGAGATAGATAGAGGTAGATAGAGGTAGATAGAGGTAGATAGAGGTAGATAGAGGTAGATAGAGGTAGGTAGAGGTAGATAGAGGTAGATAGAGGTAGATAGAGGTAGATAGAGGTAGATAGAGGTAGATAGAGGTAGATAGAGGTAGATAGAGGTAGATAGAGGTAGATAGAGGCAGATAGAGGCAGATAGAGGCAGATTGAGGTAGACAGAGGTAGCTAGAGATAGATAGAGATAGATATAGATAGATATAGATAGATATAGTAGATATAGATAGATATAGATAGATATAGATATAGATATAGATATAGATATAGATATCGATATCGATATAGATATAGATATAGACAGATATAGATATAGATATAGATACAGATATAGATAGATATAGATAGATATAGATTAGATATATATATAGATATAGATATAGATAGATATAGATAGATATAGATAGATATAGATAGATATAGATAGATATGGATAGATATAGATAGATATGGATAGATATAGATAGATATGGATATAGGCATAGATAGATATAGATATAGATAGGTATAGATATAGATGGATAGATGGATAGATGGATAGGTAGTTGGGTACATGGATAAATGGATGGATAGATAGATAGATGGACAGATGGATAGATGGATAGATGGATGGATAGATAGATGGACAGATGGATAGATGGATAGATGGATGGATAGATAGATAGAAAGATAGAAAGATAGAGATATGGAACTAGATATATATATATAGATTCGATATAGATATAGACATAGATATAGTTTTCACATAGATATAGATATGGATGTAGACATAGAGATATAGATATAGAGATATAAATATAGATCTGGGAAACCCTATGGGGAAGTCCTTGTAAGGCCGGGAGCCTCAAGGATGTCAAGATCTCGTTGTGGACACTGGAACAACTCATCACGCGTAGCCCATCGCCCAAACATCAACCCGAATTGTCCCATCCCGTGAAATACTGGTTAGGTAAATCTGGATCCCGTTAATCATGGACCTGAAATATGTTACGTACAATAATCCGCCAATAAACCAGTTGGGGAAATACTGACCAAACATGGGAATTATTTTGAGCAATCCATAATCATCCCCATTGTGTTTGCCAGCTATAGTTATACCGTTATACCGTTATACTGGCTGCTAAATAGGTGTTTACTCAACTATGGTACTTAATTCATAATCCCCAATAAACCACCACCAAATATGAATTGCTAATATCCTCCAAATATCTCCAAATGCCAATTACTATTATGAATTAGTCATGCTCTCAACCAGTATTATTATGTTTATCATTATGTTATTCCTGTTATAGTTATTAGTTATCACTATTATCATTATTATTATTACTGTTATTATTATTTATTACTGTTGTTATTATTATTATTATATTGTATCATATATATATATATATTGTATTATGTATATATATATAATTATATGTATATATATATAATTATGTATCATGTATATATATATATGTATTGCATTATACTGTGTATATATACATATATCCAGTGATGTCCAGTGGGTTTCCTGTGGGTGTCCAGGGGTTCTCAATGGTGTCCAATGGTTTTCGATGTGTGCATTATATAAGAGTGTATCCAATCGAATCTCTTCCTTGTCAAAAGCAGAGTTTCCCTGGCCTCGAGGCAGGTACAGTCTGGCCGACTGACATGGCAGACCTCAGGAGCAAGATGTGCAATCGAACTGGCATCACAGGTTTTTTGGGCCTGCTGTGTCAAAACACCTGATTCCATACAAGCTCGATGGCACATAATTACAGAAGATGTCATCTCAAAGCCTGTTTTTGCATCAACAACGTTGCTATAGCGGGCCCCCCGGCAGCCACGCAATGGACAGGGTGGCCAGGGTTGTGCACTGGATATCACCAGCAACAGTGCGCATCGAAGCATGTCACATGTTGGAAACCATGGCGAAGCAACTGGATGCGTACTGTGATGAAGCAAGTGTGGCTGAGGAAGCCTAGTCGTCTGCTCTTGTGAATTGCTTGTGGATTGGAGATTGGAATGTTTGAGAAAGTTCGAGTAAATGAAAATGTGTGTTGGATTCTGTGTGTTCATGTTTGTTCTATAACAGTGCTTTCAAATCCTTTATGGTCAGCACCTGCTTTGTTGATCATGTCAAAACAGAAAGAGTGGTGTCTATGGTGGCATTCGCGGGTTTTATTTTCAAAACATGTGAAAGAAAGGCCACCGCAACAAACATCGATGGGGCCAGGGAAGTTGAAGATTATGGGTTTCGACCCTCCAGAATTCTGTGGCGCTCGCCGTACCAGCAGCGTTGCAGCAGCGGCACCAGCTTGTGCCTGGTTCACGCATTGGCAATTGGTTTGCTGCATGCACCTCCAAGCTCTACAAATTTTCAAGATCTATTTCCACACCGTCAATCTCCAACGCTCTCTAAGACGTTAAGATAATTCATCATTCATATTCAAAACATTTCAAAACCATGTATGCCAGAACACAGCCCGCAAACCTTGATAAAGGTGGATCTCTTTCAATCCAAAGCGAGCTCAAGAAAAAGAAACAAGAAGGATTGATCATTGAGAGCCCCGGCAAACTATATCAACATACATCAACAGATTTCATTTCACTGTTTGAAGTTTCACCATGTCTGCAAAAAAGGCTTCCTGCACAGCATTGAGAGGTGGCCGCTTTGGTGGCACAAAAGCCACCCCCCCATCGCTGCCACCCCAGGCCCAGTGACCAGAAGCCTGGCACTGACGGAATCCCACCCATTTCTTTGAAAATGTGTGATGTTTTTTCATGGTTATGGACGTGGATGGTTTGGTTTGCCAACTTCTGAATCGTCCTTGGGAGTAGAATCTGCACTTTCGCTGGTCCAAATCCTTGAGGAAAATCACAGACTCACTCCTGAACTCCAAATTTTTCGTGGGGTCGTTTTATATGTTTTATGTTCTACATGTTTCTAAAAAATTCCAAAATCACCTGGTATACCCAAGTCCGGCCAAACTTCAGGCACCTTTGAAGCTGGCCGTGCACTCGGCACTCCAGGGATGACTTTGGGTGCTGGACCTCCAAGATCGGCTGCCAACTGTTCCACACGGACCCCTGTTCCATAGGGGTCAAAGTGTTGGTTACCAAAAAATTGGATCTTTAAATATCTTTACCATTGGGTTTCGATGGGTTTAGATAAGTTTAGGATTTAGAGTGTCTTCCAGCAAAAATCACTACTTCCTTGGTACAGGGGTTTTGGAACCCGCGCCTGGTCCCGCCAGAGCCACAATGGCACCTGCATCGCCTGAACATGTTGAGCTGCCCAAAATTCATCCATGATGGATTATCGAAGAAGAGAAAGCCACCTGAAGTGAAGGTTTCGCTCATTTTGGAAACAGCCATGCAGCCATATTGTGAAAGTTTCTCTACCAAACAAACCCATCAAGTTGCGGTAAAGACCACAAAACCCATGCACAAGCCTGCAGCTGCTAGCTCTTTCTTCGGCTCCTTGCAAGAGGACACATCTTTCAATGGACAAAAATATGTTATGACCGCTACAGTACACATCATGTTACCTTCTTACCTGTATGTCCTGCAGTCATCTGTGGCCACTGTACACGTTCCAGTCAGCTACAGGCTACTTCAAGTTTCAGGCTCCGCTATCTGAGCGCTTGACCCTCTGTACATAAACTGGCGGCGCCGAACACACCAGTCCAGGCCTGGAGGTTGGTCCATTTTGTCCCAAAGTTGTGAATAGCTCCACTGGTATTCCCTTGTGTGTATGATCTTCATTCATGGACGTGGACTATGATTCCCTATGATTACTTTCTTCAAGATGACAAAGTGCGGTGTGCTGAAATGGATTGAAATGGTGGCTCACTAGATCCAAACTGGTTGGCATGTTGATCTGAGGATCAAGAAATGTCAAGTGAGATATTGCACATGTCCAAACGACCTTTTCTATCTTTTCATTGGATTCACCGATTCAATACTCGAGGCCTACTATCAGCCTGGCAGTTTTGGAGATTTCGACAAACGACTCTTTCTGAACACGGCAGTGCCTTTTTCCAGCTTCACTTAGGGCCTGACATGGCACTCATGGTGAACGCTCTTGTCAATACCGTTGAAAACTGTCATCTCAGTATGCAAATTTGATGACAAGATCTGTGGGTAGGCCTTACCACGACCTTCTTCAGTCTGCTTTCTCAGGAAATCCACCTCAGGTCGAGGCAAGTGCAGCGGAAATTTGGTCCCCAGGTATCTTCCAATCCCGGCAACCACCTGTCATTATCGTCGTTTGGTTCCTGGCAATGCTGACATCAG